ATCTTGATTAATCCTTAAAAACTCCAAAAGCTCTGCTCACTCCTCTTCTGTGAGCTTGATGTTGATCTTAATTGTTCTTTCTGGTACATCAGGGTTTAGGGGGACTGTCTCCACTGGTTCTACCAAATCAGCCTTCTGCTCGACACCCTCAGGTCGGTGTTCAATATCTGATATGCTTATTGTTTGCTAATCGAGCTAGGTTGGCCTGTGATTTTCAGAACCTGCCGGGGCTATAGTGAGCTCAACCTTCTTGAATGTATCTTGATAGCAGGTTCTGGCCATCTTTTGGTTCCCCTTAAGCATTCTGACCCCCTAAGGAGTTGGGAACTTCATGTAGAGATGAGGTTGCGAGATGACAGCCTTCAGCTCGCAGAGGGTGGCCCTTCCTAGTATGGCATTGAACGCCGATTCCATCTTGACGACTAGAAAGCTAACAGAAGCCATCCTGAAGCGTGGTTCTAAGCTCACATATATGGGGAGAGTAATAACTCCCTCAACCGGGACAGGCTGGTTATCAAACCCATATATGGGCCCTTCATACTTTTGCAGCGAGCTCGGATTCAGTTGCATCTTTTGAAAACAGCTCCAGTATAAGATATTTGGGGAGCTACTAGTATCGATGAACACCTTGTTGACGTTATGATTGCCTATATGAACGGTTGCCACAAAAGGATTTGCATGAGGCATCATAACGTCGGGCTCTCCTTCTGCTTGCTTATAGTCTGTCGGGTTGAATGTAATAGGCGCATTCTCCCACTCCACCTCCTTGAACGGCCACTTCAAAGGCCTGTTCTTATTAACATTCATCACTTGTCGGGCATATGCCTTATGGCCCCGAGCGCTTAGGCCTCTTGAGTGCATACCACCCGATATCATATTGATTGTGTTAGAGGGCGGGGGTATCCCAGCATAGCCTACCCCCTTTCTATTTGGTTCTGGGTAGTAGTTCTCTATCCTTGGCCTCGCCTATTGAACTGACGACCGCTGTATGCTCTACCTTGCTCATAAGGATGTTGGTTGTCCTGATACACGTCCTGTGTGCTGTCGAGCTGATACCTCTGCCCCTGAGGTCGGTCATACCCCAGCACAAAGTGAGTTTGAGTTGGTTGCTGGGCATAAGGCTTTTGAACATATCCTTCTAACTTCCCATTGCGAGCCAAGAACTCTAGCTCATCCTTTATATGTTGGCAATCTTCTGTATTGTGGCCGTAGGCACGATGGTAGTCACAGTGCTTGCTCTTGTCTACTCTTGAGGAATCATGCAGTGGGGGAGGGGGTCTTCTGACCCAGTGCTGGATTTGTGCTAGGATTTGAAACCTTGGCAGGGTCAAAGGAATGTAGTTGGCATACTTTGAGAAGTCAGATGGCTTTCCCCACTGCTCATTGACTTTCTATTTTTTCTTTTCCTCTTTCTTCTGTGGCGGTTCGTGGCTTTTGTTTTGTCTATCATCAGCTCATCGCTTGGACGACTAGAAATCTTCTGATAGTATGAAGCTAGCTAACCGTTCATTTACTTCATTCCACATCTTTGGTGGGTTTTCTAGTAGGTTGTCTAGGAATCGACCAGGTTTAAGGCCATGCAGTAAGGCGGACAAGCAGATGGTATCAGGGACGTTGTCAATGTCTAAAGTAGCCTTGTTAAATTGTTGCATGTAGTCCCTCAGAGATTCCCCTTCTTTCTGATGAACCTGCATCAGTTCAGACGCTGTACGTTTAATCTCTCTTTGGCTCGCAAATTTATTGGAGAATAGCTTGGCGAACTGGGAGTACGAGTCTATATAGTTCTATGGGGAGTTTATGATACCATCTTCTGGCCGTTGACTTAAGTGTCGCTGGAAACACTTTGCACATCATGGCGTCATTGGCATTTTGGATTCTCATGATGGCTTGATAGGTATGCAAATGTTCATTTGGGTCTCCTGAGCCATCATACGTCTCTAGGTTGGGGATTTTAAATCGCTCTTGATACGGCTCTGCTGTGATGGATAGGTTAAGTGGGGCACTATCCAAGTCGAGGGTCTGTTGGTGCGACCTGGGGCTTTTCAGCTCATCAATGGACTTCTATACATCCCGTAGCTGCCTTTCAAGGTCTGCATTCTTTCTCATCAATTCCTCACTATGTTTGGACGAGCTAGGTTCGTTATTCAACCTCCCACTTCCTATTGGTTTGGTCGGCATTAATATATTGCTCAGAGCGGGAGAGTTACGACTTGCTATTGTAGCTGGCTGCGCATCCCTGTTCAGCAAGGGAATTAGAGGGTAATCAGGGATTAGGCGGGCAAGGATTTTTCCCATTACCATTTCAAGAATTCTAGTTCTCTCTTCGAGCTCTACCGTCCGAGCAGGCTCCATTGACCTTTCAGGTCGTTCATGCTGTGAATTGCCTTGCTTGGGATGCTTGTGCCTTGTTCCTGTCGGAATTTGGAATTGTTCGGGCTGAGTTGCGTACCCAGTTGGTGTTCTTTCATCGTCATCTGTTCCACTTAATTGATCCTGTTCTGCTCCCCCAACAAAAAGGTTTCTCGGCATTGGTCTAAAATCATTCAAGCCGACGTCAGATAGCTGAGTGTCCTCCTGTTCATCCATTTCATTTCTCTGGAGGCGGCTTCTGGTAAAAGTACAAACCATTTTGTCTTTCAGTAGGTTAAGCTACACAACTTCTTGCTCAGAGTTCCCACAGACGGCGCCAAATGTTTGGGCAACTTCGCAATCCAACACTGTTGAAGTCCTCAGCTGCTAAATGTTTGGGCAGCTTTGCAATCCAACACTGTTGAAGTCCTCAGCTACTTCCACACCTGAAAATCCCGAGGATGTTTCCTCGAGGAAAACACTTCGACGCTCAAGTCAGCAATACTCGATATTCTAGAGAGAGATGCTCTCAAAAGAGTAACTGCAGAGAGAGAAGCGTAGAGATAAATTACCTTCATCGGAGGTAGTTGGGGGGTATTTATAGCCCCAAATGCTGACATGCATCAGTACATGTAAGCACCTCATTGGCCCACGTGGGTATGTCTTCTCCTCTTGGGCCTGTGGGTGCATAGTTGGGCCTGCTGCATGTGGCCCGAAGCAGGTGTTGGGCCTAACCCCAACACGTTCTATTATCTTTATTGTTAAAATTGTAAAGAATTTGATACTAGGTTTGTTTAGTTTCTCTTGTTTGGTTGTAGCTTTTTTCCATTGAATTTATCCGAATAGAACCCTAAAATCCCAACTTTTAAACTTTAAGTTTGATATGGTTTTACCTGTTTTGGTTAAGGAATTGTGTTTATGGGTCAAGTTAACTCAATGCCAGAATTATGGACCGATATATAGAAAACAAGAATCTTGATAAAAATTAATAAATGTAAATATAATCACATTTAATTTAATATAAAAATGAAAATTGGTTTGTTCTTAATTAATCCTAATTTAAATAATTAATTGATTTAATTGCATTTGATTAGAATATTTAGATTTAGTTAATTATTTAGATAAAGGTTGATTAATTTGATTAATAATTTAATTAATTTTAATTAATTCTTAATCAATCAAGCTTAATTACATTTATTTTGAGTGTTCGGGTTAAAAAAATCAATCATCTTTATTTTAACGTTAATTTTGTCCAAAACTTTTTGAAATCAAGCAATTTAGTTCATAAATTTTAAATCTTTTTAAATTAGTCCTCCATGTTTCAAATTTAATCAAATCAGTTCCTCCACTTTTAATTTTGTTGCAATTGTGCATGGATGTTCTTGATTTTGCTCAACTAAATCCAAGTATTTTCAAGCTTCATAGTTTCATCCATTTACTTTTTAAGTTCACTTAATCAAAATAAATAAAAAAAAAGTTGAATAAATTTCCAAATGTTAAAGTATGCGACCATGTTTTTTTACACAAAGGATTGTGAAGTATGTATATGCCATTTCTCACTGCTAATTGTATCCTTAGACCCCAATTTCTGTGCAAACTGTGTTTTAGGTGACTTATCTCAATTTATAATTCAAACAAGTGACGACTCATTTCTTTTTCATTTTTCACACCTAATTTTTCATTTATATTTTCATATATAATAAAAATATTTTTGAAAAATTTTAGGTGGTAGTCAATATCACCACCATCCTATTGAGTTCTTTTGGCCCAAGACGTTCTAGGTTAAGTGGTTGGAATTTGGAAAAATAATATCATATGGATTCATAACTTAATTAAATGGTTAGCTTCCTTCTCTGTTTGAATAATCAACATAAGGCAATTGGGGAAAATCATCCATCAACCAACTCTTCCACAGAGTCAAAAGTAATCATCCATCAATCAACACTTCCACAAAGTCAAAAGTAACTTACAAAATTGTTTTAATTAACAACATTCATATTGACTAAGGTTGACTAGTTGGAATTAGGGGTGGCAATTTGCCCCGATCCCCGCGAGGCCTCATGGGAATCCCTGCTATGGGGACGGGGCTGGAAGGAATATTCCTCCTCATGGGTGAGGACGAGGGGTATTTTTCCCTCGCAAAATTTTGTGAGGAATTCTCCCTGTCTTGCGGGGATCCCCATCCTCACAAAAAATTAAAAAATATATGTAAATTAATTTTATTTTAAATTTAATTCAATCTTCAAACCCAAACTCAATCCAATAAAAATTAAACTTAACCCAATTTTACCTAACCCAACCCATAAAAATTAACCCAACCCATCATCAACAAGTTTGTTGATTTAGCTATTTATGTTGAATTGATCTTTATTTATGTTTGGACAATTTATATTTGATTTTCTATTTAAAGAATTTTAGTTAATTATACTTGAATTTTTAGATTTTTATTCATTATAATTGAATATTAATTAATTATAAGTAAAAAAATTTGTATTTTGATATTAATCGATGATGAATGAGGATCCCCACGTGGAACGGGGATGGGAGGCAAACTCTGCCCTTGCAAAAATCCCCATAGGGATCCCTGTCACCGTCATTCGCAGGGACGGGGATGGAAAGGGATTCCCCGTCCTCGTGGGGTCTCGTTGACATCCCTAGTTGGAATTTAGAAAAATACAAAACCTTTTCACATTACTATTCTATGGTAGTTGAAGCCTAGATTCAGATGATGTAATACATATTCAAATATCCCCCTTTGAAAACTATGAAAAGGTGCACCAATTCTCAATGGCATTGAGCAAGGGATCTTTATTGAGGTTTTGTATAATACATTTTACTACATAGTAGTTGACAAAAATATTATTTCTAAAGAGAGACTAAAATTCAAACCTAGGATGTGGTTAGCAATGTCACTACATTACCAAATTGCAACTTAGACACAGTTTATTGATCTTTCATTCTATTTTTGATGGCCAGTAAGCTTGTTAATGGCTTTCGTCTCTAGTGATTCTACTAAGTAGGCTTGTGTTCTTGCTGACAATTCTTGTGCCACAAAATGCATGGTAGGTCGAGACTCTGGCCTTAAACGCGTGCAAGCTAAGCCTATCTTGACAACAAACACAACTTCCTCTGCTATTTGGCCCATGGGGGATGGAAGTCGAGTGTCTAACACATCTTTCAGAAGCACTTCTTTGTTTTCTAGTGAAAATGTTGTTGATGATAAATAGTTTAAAAGCTCCCTTGGATGCTTTCCCATCATAACTTCTAATGTTACTACACCGAAGCTAAAAACATCACATTTATTTGTCACTCGCATTGTGAGTGCAAGCTCTGAAAAATAAGAAACCAAAGTAAAAGAACAATTTGTTAGATGTCATTGATGAGGAAACATTATTGATCAACATACATTTATCTAATGTGAGCTTTACCTGGTGCCATGTAGCCATAAGATCCAGCAGCTGTTGTCCAATTAGAAGAATTTGGATCCAATAACCTTGCAGTGCCAAAATCTGAGAGTTTTGGCTCGAGCTCTGACTCAAGCAAGATGTTATTCAAGGAGATATCTCGGTGAATAATGGAGGGAGAGCAATCATGATGTAAATATGCAAGAGCATGAGCTAATCCTTGCACAATTCTCACCCTTGCAACCCATCCCAACTCCACATCTCCCTCAACTCCATATAGTACATTTGCCAAACTTCCTCTCTCAATGTAATCATAAACCAAATACATGCATCCCCCTGTTGAATAGTATCCATGTAGCTTGATGATGTTCCGGTGCTTAACTTTTGTTAGAACACGAATCTCATTCTCAAAACCTTGGCGATTTGTAGCTGGGATATCATTAGAGTCTGGTATATTGAGCTTTTTAACAGCAACTACTTGATCTTTGGATAGTAAGGCTTTGTAAACACTTCCAAATCCTCCTTTCCCAATGCAATACTTATCATCAAAATCTTCTGTAGCTCTTACAATTTCACCGTATGTGACTTTCGTTTCCCTTCCCCATATCATTGTCTCAAAACTCTGAGGGCTTTTACTACTTTTAGCCTCTTCATCATTTAGCTTGCTATAACCATGATATAGTAGAATCATCATAGAAACTAAAAGGGCACAAACAGGAACAAGGACAATAATAAGAATCATGGCATTAATCTTGCTGGACTTACTGTTGTTGGAACTTGAACTACAAGGAATCAATCCATCAACATTTCCACACAAACCTAGGTTCCCAACAAAGGCTTCACTGGAAGCATTTTGAAACTTACCCTTAGTCGGTATTGGACCTGTCAACTCATTATGGGAGAAATCAAATGTGACGAGACTAATCATGTTAGACAAGCTAGCTGGAATAGTGCCAGAGAGATGATTATGTGAAACATTAAGGTTCTCCAGTGATACAAGCTTTGACAGATCTGGGGGGATTGCTCCTGATAGTGAATTGCTGCTTAGATCAAGTGTGATTTGAATAAAAATTAAGTTTCCAAGCTCATGTGGTATGTTACCAGATAGCTTGTTGTGGCTCAAATCCAAGCTTAGTAATTTTTTAAAATTTCCAATTTCTCTTGGTATTCTCCCACTCAAGTTGTTCCCTGACAAATCAAGAACTTGAAGATTCGACAAATCTCCTATATTTTGAGGTATCTCTCCAGTCAGATGATTGTTACTCAAATTTAGTTTGAATAACAAGCTTAAATTTGTTAGTTCATCAGGAATATTGCCGGATAAACTATTGAAGCTGAGACTTAGAACACCCAACCGGTTCAATTTGCCAAGCTCTACAGGTATTTGGCCAGAAATTCTATTTCTGTCAATTTGTAGAGCTGTGAGATTTTGGCATTGCCCCAGTTGTGGAGAAATTTCACCAATAAATTGATTTTCAGTGAGAGAAATATAATTTAGGAATGGATGCACCCCAAATGCAGTTGTGATGTCACTTGTAAATTGGTTCCTATCAAATCGAACCCTTTTTAACCTTGTACAATTCTTAAGGCAAGTTGGCAAAGAGCCAATGAACTTGTTGTCATTGACAGTGATATTTTCAAGAAGGAGGCCACTACACAATTCAGGTGGAAGTTCTCCAGAAAAGCTATTGTTTGAGAAGCTCACATACCATAAAGAGGGACTGTATTTCCCAAAATCTTTAGGGATGCTACCAGAGAAATTATTAGTGAACAATGAGATTGCACCTAAATTGCTAAGGTGGGAAATGTTCTCTGGCAATTCCCCATGTAGTTGGTTTGTGTTGAGATCAAGAGATTGTAGAGATGCCATATTTCCAATCTCTGGAGGGATGGTGCCACTGAGATTATTAAAGAAAAGTTGCAGCTTTTGAAGGCTTGTGAGACTCCATAGAGTTAAAGGAATTGAGCCAGAAAGCTGGTTTCCTGAAAGGTCTAACTCTATAAGATTTTTCAGGTTCCCTATCTCTGAGGGAATGGTGTTTGAAAGCTTGTTGTTATACAAATAGAGAATCCTCAACTTTCTTAATAAGCCAATTTCAAATGGAATCTTGCCAACAAATTTATTGTTTTGAAGCTGCAATGAGATTAATTGGGTCCAATTACCAATAAGAAAGGGTGGGATTTGACCGGAAAGAAAATTTTCAGACAAACCCAACTCAGAGATTTTAATCAGATTGGAGAAGGATAGAGGTAATTGACCAGTGAGTCGATTTCCAGCTAAGGTCAAAAAGGTGAGATTGGTACAAGAACCAAGCTCAGAAGGAATGGTAGATTTGAAAGAGTTAGAATGAAGATCAAGTTTCTTGAGTTTCTTTAGTTGACCAAAAGAAGATGGAATGATACCTCCTAAAGCATTTTCATATAATTCCAGAATGTCAAGCTCAAACAAGAGACTTATACTCTTAGGAATTGGACCACTAAATTTGTTGGCTCCTAGATGAAGAGCTACAAGCTTAGAAAGCTTGGAAATGTTTGATGGTAGTGGACCCTCAAATGAATTATGACTTAGATTGAAGGCCTCAAGTTTAACTAGATTGGTGAACACTGATTCTGGTATTGGGCCAGTTAAGGAATTGATTGACAGGTCTAGAAAAGTAAGATTTCGACAATTGGTGATGAAAGGAGGGAAAATTGATATTAGTGCATCATTTGAAAATCCAAGATGAAACAACAAAGGCATGCCTAAGAACTTGGACCAATCAGGATCTGTCAAGTAATTCCATCCAAGGTCTAAGTACCATACCTTTTGAAGATGACTAACTTGATAAGGGATGCTGCCGTTGAGACTATTATTGAACAAGCTGAGATACTGAAGCTCTGTCAATTGCCCTATCTCCACTGGCACAATATCTACCAAATTGTTGTTGCTCAAGTCTAGGTGAGTGAGCTTGGATAGGCTACCAATAGCTGGTGGTATTGATCCAACAAGATTATTATTGTGGAGGTCAAAGTGGGTCAGAGTCGGAAATGGGTTGAAGTTGAATTGGGCTAGTGATCCGGTGATGTTTGCATTGCTGAGGTTGATTTCAGACACAATTCCCGTGGAGCTGTCACAGGTGATAGAAGTCCAATTGCAGAGATTGCCAATATTGTTGGTGGACCATGAATTTAGAGAAGGTGGTGAAAAAGACAAGTTGTTCTTCCATTGTATAAGAGCTTTTGCTTGTGTTCTTGGTGAAGCTATGATCTTTAATGGAAGAAGGGAAAACAAGAATATGTGGCAGAGCAAAAGAGAAGACTTTAGTGAACTCTTCATATTTAAGTACTGAAAAAGGTTTCTACATGTGTTATATACCAATCAAGGTGATCCCCTAATCCTATATATATAGGAGAGGAGAGGAAATCTTTTCTTTCAATCCCAACACTGGATCTTCTTGTTGATACCAATTTCCATATTAACAAATAGTAATTTCCATTGACTGACTTAACGAATGTGTTGTGCAATTTCCTACTAAAGTATAATATACCCAAGCTAAAAAATAATTGGCCGCTTGACTTTAAGCTAAAGCAAAACATGTCTGTTTTCCTTTTTTTCTTTTTTACTTTCTTCCTTTTTATCCTTCCTTGTCTTTTGCGCCTTTATCCCTCTTCTAGGAAGATGCTTTACCTAGAATTCTGAAATTTTGAGGGGTTAATTCCTGTAGCTTGAAAAAGGGTTTGGAAAATAACGATGCTACCAACCAAGAGTTTGTAGTTTAGTCCAATTTCACTGATTTTCCCAGTCGTCCCTT